CTTCTTCAATACAGCATGATGTTCATTTAGTACATTATGGTCCATTTTTCAAAAAATTAGTTACATCTTTACAAAACAAAAACATGCATTAAAGAGCCCACAAGTTCTTCTGTACACAGAGTGAATATTGGTTACGGCGTTATTGTTCAGTTGATAATAAATAATAATACATTTTATTTATATAGCGCTTTAAAATGCACTCAAAGACACTTTACATGGTAAAAACAGAAAAAATAAAAGCATATATAATAAGAACAAAATCTACGACATAACAGTAAGAAAGAAAAAAAACACAAAAAGAAAGAAAGAAAACATACATGACTGACTTTACAGGTTAAAAGCAGATTTAAATAGGTGAGTTTTAAGTGCAGTTTTGAAAGTGGCGAGTGACGGAGAATGTCTGAGGTGTTGGGGCAGAGAGCAGAGGGAGGGGGCAGCAATGGAGAAGGCCCTGTCCCCCCAGGTCTGATGCTTGGACAGAGTAGGGGGGTAAGGAGGTTGGCGTCGGCGGATCTGAGGATGCGGTTGGGAGTGTGACGGTGCAGGAGGTCTAGAGGTATGAAGGGGCAAGGTTATGAAGGGCTTTATATGTGATGAGAAGAATCTTGAACTGGATTCGTTGCTGTATGGGGAGCCAGTGGAGGTTTTGGAGGACTGGGGTGATGTGGTCTCTGGTGGAGTGGGAGAGCAGACGGGCAGCAGAGTTCTGGATGTATTGTAGTCTATTGATGATTTTGGTGGGTGAGCCGTACAGGATGCTGTTGCAGTAGTCCAGTCGAGAGGTGATGAAGGCGTGGATGAGTGTTTCAGCTGCTGTAGAGGAGAGGGAGGGGCGGAGACGGGCATTGTTTTTGAGATGAAAGAAGGCAGTTTTTCTGATGTGATTGATGTGTCGTTCATATGAGAGAGTTTGATCGAAAATGATCCCAAGGTTACGGACATGTGTGGAGGCAGGAACAGTGATGCCATCGATGCAGAGGGAGAAGTTATGGAGGGATTTGTTTAATGATTTGGGGCCGATGATGAGGACTTCAGATTTGTCGGTGTTGAGTTTGAGGAAGTTGGCTTGCATCCAGGTTTTTATATCTGTGAGGCAGTTGGTGATGGTAGAGTGGGTGGTGGGGGTGATGGATTTGGTGGAGATGTAGAGCTGGGTGTCGTCAGCATAGCAGTGGAACTGGAGACCATGGAGGCGTATGATGTCACCAAGGGGGAGCAGGTAGAGGATGAAGAGGAGGGGACCGAGTACTGAACCTTGGGGGACACCTTGAGAGACTGGGACAGACTTGAATTTGTTGATACTAATGAAGTGATCACGGTCGGAGAGGTATGATTTAAACCAGGAGAGGGCTGTGACAGTGATGTGGAGGGAGGACTCAAGATGGGAAAGGAGGATGTAGTGGTTGATGGTGTCAAAGGCTGCACTGAGGTCGAGCAGTATCAGGATGTTGAGGGAGTGGTCATCAGAGGAGAGGAGGAGGTCGTTGGTGACTTTGATGAGGGCAGTTTCTGTGCTGTGATGAGATCTGAATCCGGATTGAAATAGTTCATACAGTTGGTTTGAGTCCAGGTGGGTTTTCAGTTGACAGGCAACAGTGCGTTCCAGTATTTTAGACAGAAAAGGGAGATTGGAGATGGGTCTGTAATTGTTGTGGATGTCGGAGTCAAGGCCAGGTTTTTTGAGGATGGGTGTGACTGAGGCGAGTTTGAGGGCGGGAGGGACGGAGCCAGTAGACAGGGAGGAGTTGATGACAGAGAGGAGGTGCGGGCGGAGGGCCGGGAGACAGGCCATAACTAAAGTGGAAGGGATAGGGTCGAGGTCACAGGTCGGAGTCTTCATGCCAGAGAGTGATTTATTGAGATCCGAGGGGGAGATGAGAGAGAATCGGGAGAGTGACCGGTCAGTTAGTGGAGGATTTGCAGATACAGGACGAAGCCGGGCTGGAAGTGGCCAGTTGGTTGTAGATGGTGTCAATTTTTGCTTTGTAGAACGACAGGAAGGAGTTGCATTTCTCGGCTGTGGAGGAGTGGGAGAGATTGTCCATAGGTTTGAGGAGTTTGTTTATTGTGGAGAAGAGGACCTTGGGGTTGGCGGAACCAGAGCGGATGATGCCAGAGTAGTAGGTGGAGCGAGCAGAGTTTAGAGCCAGTTTGTATTGTTGTATGTGTCCCTTGTACGCCAGGGTGTGAACTGTGAGGCCGGTTTTTTTGGAGAGTCGCTCTAGTCTGCGTTTCCGGGATTTCATGAGGCGGAGTTCAGGGGTGAACCAGGGAGCAGTGTGGGAGAGACAGTTCTGGTTTTGAGAGGGGCAAGCTGATCAAGGCAGGAGGATAGTGTGTTATTGTAGAGGTTGACCAGGTCTGAGGGGGAGGGGCTAAGGGAGGGGGTGAGTGTGGAGAATTTCTCAGTGAGACAGGCTGACAGGGATGAGGGGCAGACAGACTTGATATTACGGAGAGTGATGGTGCGCGTGAGTTTGGATTCTGGGATAGGGATGTCGATCTCCATGATGATGGCTAGATGGTTGGAGATGGTGAGGTCATAGCCGGAGAGGTGGCTGATGGTGATTTCAGTGGAGCAGACCAGGTCCAGGATGTGACCGCGGTTGTGGGTAGGGAAGTCAATGTGTTGAGTGAAGTTGAAGCATTTAACCATGTCCAGAATTTCTGTGGCTGTTTTGCAGTCTGAGGAGTCGATGTGGATGTTGAAATCACCAAGCAACAGAGATGTTAGTCAGTCTGGTTTTGATGTGTTGGCGGTAAAGAGCGGCAATTCCTCCACCGCGGCCATCAGGGCGTGGTTTATCCAGGTAATGATATCCAGTTGGGGTGGTTTGGTTGAGTGCGTAGTAGTCCAGGTGTTTTTGCCAAGTTTCAGTGAGACAGAGGATATCAAGGTTGTTGTCAGCGATGAATTCATTGATGATTGGGCTTCTGTTGCTTAGTGACCGGGTGTTGAACAGAGCAAGTTTCATGGAGTGTTTTGTGATTGGTTGTGAGGTTTTGGGGAGGGTTCTGAGGTTAGCTGGATTCACGTGCTGTTTGGTATGATGACATAATGAGGGAGTAGTTGTACGCCGGTGCTGAGTCCACAGAGACGAGATGGAATTGACAGAAGTGGGGTTGTAGATGGTGAACTTGTGCTGGGAACCGATATGAACATCACTGGGAGGGATGTCACAATGGTCTGAATGGGGAGAGCTGCAGCTGAAGGGGTTGTGACAGGGAAGGCCAGTAGGGGGAGCAGTCACGGGAAACTGTGCTCTGAAGAGGCAGCGTAGAAGAAGAAGGGGCGTGTGTGTGGAAAGTAAATAGTCAATCATGCGGACAAGATTGTACAGCATGCTGTAAATTAGCTGCTAGCAGGCGGCTACCCAGCTTGTTAAAATGAATACCATCGTTCTTAAAAGAGGAAGAGCGGTCCCAAAACAGATTAAAATTGTCAATGAAGCTCACGTTGTTGGTCCTGCAGGTGGCCTGGAGCCAAGTGTGGAGGCTGAGGACTCTGCTGAACCGCTGTGATCCACGGCCGAGTGTTGGAGTTGGACCACTGATGAAAGCAGACAGTCCACAGCTGTTTAAAAAGTATAAAAGATTTTTAAAATCAATCTTGGTCAACTCAGACTGGTGGAGGGCTGTATCGTTGATTCCCACATGAACGATAATTCGCTGAATGGTAGACGAGAGGGCGTGCAGCAGGCCAGGTAGTTTCAGCAGGATGTCTTGAGCCGTTGCTCCGGGGAAACGGGTGAAGAAACGGGTATTCCTGATTATGGAGTCCCCGACTATCAGTGTCGTCGGGGCGAAGAGGGGACGAGGCGACAACACTGCGCGTGTAATATGCGTGGATGGAAGCGAGGATTTAACCAGTGGTGGTGGAGTGGACGAGCAAGGACTGAGAGAACGGGGGACCGAAGAGGTGAGTGGAGCCATAGCAGATCTGGTGGACAATTGGGCTCCAACCCACAGTCCACAGCCTTGTCCAGGTATTAGCAAAGGTGGAAGCTGATTCACAGACGGTCCCGTTTTCAGTTTGCCGTGTGTAGACACTCTATATCTGTGGTCTCCATGGCGTTAGCTAGCTTCAGAGCCCAGAGCTAACAATCAAGGCAGTAGTAGCCCAGCAGGCTATCCGGTCTGGGGAACGCCAAACTTAAGAGGTCGAGTACGTGTTGGCTGACATCGTACTCCTAGTTCAACAAACACAGATCATAACAGCTAGGATCTCAAAAGTATAAGGCAAAAAATGTGGCCGCTTCTTTGACTTTACCTGACGGCTGGATCAGTAAGTGTTCTCTGACTCGTGGTGAGACAGGATCTCACTGTTAGGAACTCAGTAGCAAACAAAGAACACAAGAGAGATTGCATTTTCTTCAGTTCACGCAGATTTATTTACATCACAAAGTATACAAGTAAACCGAGCTGTCCGGAGTCAACCAACTTCACAATAGCACTGTACATTATTGATACCTCCATTCTACACTAAGTCTTCCCCCACTTCGGCGATGTCGTCCTCCTCTGAACTTTCATCAAGTTACACTGTGCACCTCGGACAACATAACAGAGGGTTGATGAACCACAGTCTCCTCCCCACTTGTCTTCTCCTCATTCCACCTCTGGCTGCCCGTCACAGCGACCGGCTCCTGTCTTTCCCTCCGTTAGAAATACGTCATACGTCATAGGAGACTCCCTGTCTCAGTGACGTGAATAACATGACAATGATACCGGCCAATATCACAGTGTGAATGTGAATATACATGGATACATTTAAAATTATGGATATGATGGATTTTACACAAATATACTTCGACACAAATATAATTTTCTCCCACATTCCCCCCTTGAGTAACTCACGCCACTCATACGAGAAACATGTTAGAACCTCCTGCTGGTCTTCAGGTTCATGTACTTTACGCTGTTGTTCCTTCTATGCTTTAATTTACATTAAAACACTTGGCATGAGATACGTGCGATGTGACAAATTAAAGTGGATCTGCTGATGATTGGGGTTTTTGGAGGCATCAGTTCGTCAGGTGTTTGAGGTGTTATTTCTCTCATCCCATTGGACAGTCCTGTACAGCAGCTCCGCCTCCCGAGCCCTAACAAACACCAGTCCAGTCAAAGCACACTGGAACACGCCTGGACCAGGACACCTGGACCTGTAGGACACGGAAGTTCTGGCCTGTTAGTCACATGATCTGAGCAAATGTCTCAGAGGTGGATCGTCGCTAAATGTCCAAGTAAAGTCATTCTTGTTTTTTACTGGAAGACTTCACACTGTACAACTTCTCACCTATTTGTCGTCCTCGGGCAGCTTTTCTTGCACATTCAGTTCGTTATCTGATGGAGAGAAGAATTAGAAGGAAGAAAAAAATGGATTTGAAAATTGTGTTTGTTTTTACAATGAGGACATGCTCATGTCAGGATCAGACTTGAATGTACAATAGTTTGATGGATGGAGGACATTGTTTACAACACTCACACTGTGGGTATGTCAGCTGTGATCAACTTGTAGTTAATCCTGTAGAGATGAACACAGTACCAAGAGTGATGGAACAAGTTTAAAATAACTTCAAAATAGCCTGAAACAACCTGATCAAATGCTTTGCATCATGTACTCTCCGCAAACACAACAACTGACTGCAGTCAGGTGTTTATTGTTCATGGGAGAATGAAAGAATGCAGAGAAGAAAACACAGGATGAGAAACTGAACTCAGTCGGTAAATCATTGATTTGTTGTGCTAGGCTAGACTAACCATGGGCAGTGGTACAGTTCCTGCCCGACACTGCAGAAACCCAGGGCTCGATTCCCAGTAGAAACACCTTGAATCTCAGTGTAAGTGCCTCTGTTAATTTGGCTGTAAGGGTTCTGATTTATGTTGCTGCACTAGCAACTCGTACTGGTTAGTGAGGGAGTGGAAGTGGAAGGTGGAGCTGGAGGGACCCCCCATGGGAGTAACGCATTGTGTTTAGATAAATACTGCTGGAACCAGCATGGACTGAGTCCAACCCTCTACTGACCTCAGAGTCTCCAGTCTACAGTGAGGACTCTCCACAAGATCAGACAGCAGCTTCACTCCTGAATCCCGCAGCTTGTTTCCTCTCAGGTCCAGTTCTCTCAGATGGGAGGGGTTGGACTTCAGAGCTGAGGCCAGAGAAGAACAGCTGATCTCTGACAAACTGCAGGTCCTCAACCTGAATAAAGAATAAATGATGAAGATCAGAATCCATTTACAAACCACTCAGATGTGTTGATGTTTTAAATGTGTAGCTCAACATGACTATGTCCTCATCAATGAGCTTTTCTCTTTGTCTTTGTGTTATTGTGGATCATCATCATGTCAGCCTTCTACAGACATCATCCACATGTCACCTCAACATTCATACACCTGTTGATGTCTCCACAAGTTAACACCATGCTGCTGGTCTTAGTCAGGTCTGGAACTAGAGGATCAAGATCAGATCAGACCTGTTGGACTCAGACGGTTCATGACTTCATTGACTACATGAGCTTCTTCTTTGTGTATCTGGTAGCTTAGTAGCTTCATGTGTTTAACAGGAGAGGTCCACATGTGTTCAGGTGTGTCTTCAAACAACAGCCACAGTACATTACATTACAGTCATTTAGCAGACGCTTTTATCCAAAGCCACTTACAATAAGTGTATTCAACATATTCAAGAGAACTAGTCACCAGAAGTCATAAACAAGCATCTAAGAGCATAAACCAGAGCCACTGCACAGTGCAGACACAAACTAATGTAATAAGTGCAACAAACTAATATAAATACAATAAGTGGTGAGTGGAAGGCTCAGGGTAGTACTTCTTGAAGAGGTGAGTTTTCAGCCCGATGAAAGTCTGCTCTGCTGTCCTGACGTCAGTCCACCACTGTGGGGCCAGGACAGGAAACAGCCGCGACCGGGTCGATCCTCTGAGCAGCGGGGCAACCGATCGCCCCGAGGCAGCAGAGCGAAGTGGTCGGGCGATGGGGGTAGGGCTTGACCATGGCCTGGAGATACGAAGGAGCTGTTCCTTTCATCTGTCCATCACCAGAGTTCTTGGTGGCAGTAATCATTCCTCCTGTCATACTGAGTGTGAAGTGGTCCCTTCATAACACAACTATACTGAAGACATCACTTCACAAGTTCAGCTGAAACTAACATGAAGCTTCAGCAGTCTGAGTCAGACGAACCAAAGTTACAGACTATTGAGGAGCAGATTCCCTCTTTGAGTTCCTCTTCCTCCACTGAACTCACCAAGGAAACACTGTTCAACCCGCTGCTACGTACTGCTGAGGAAGGTAGTACATGTACACCGTACACAGTACATGTACACAGTACTACACAGTACATGTACTGTGTACATGTTGTTGAAAGATCGTAGAAAAGTATGAAAGCATAAGTATAAAATATTGTAAACTAACCTTTTTGATTCAAAGTATAACCACTAAATATATGAACTGTTTTATTTCATAATAGAAGTGATTTAACATATAAACTGCTGAGACACTTTGTGTAACATAGTCACTTGAGCCTTATATAGTACTTCTTGTTCTAACAGGACTAAACCAGTTACATTCTTTTGCAGACCTAAAATCAGGAGGACTCATGAAAGTGACGCATGAACCTGAAGGAGCCGCCTTAGATCAGCAGAAACACTGTGAGAGTTGGGGCTTTTTCCCCAACTAGAGAAGGGGACAGACTTCTTGAATAGATACTTAGGGGTCTTACCCCCGAGGAAGTGAGGACAAGAAGACCCTTTTGCTGTCTTACCCACTTATAGGGGGACAGAAGACCCCTTTGCTATCAGAGGGAAGCATGAAGAAGAGAAAAAAAGAAAAACTCAGAGAGCGGACTGTGAGAGCCTGCAAAAATCCAGGAAACCAGCAGAGCTGAGACAAAGAGAAAAGAGGGGAGATTTCTAGGGTAGAGACTAGATTATACCTCATAGCAAATCAGTGAAAGCTGATATGAGAGGAAAACCCCATTACAGTAGCAGTGTTACAATTAGTTCTTGTAGCATAGTGACTGTTTCATTGAATATAAATTGTTGTATGTGGTTGTTGTGAGAAAACTTTAATGAAACCACGGCCTTACATTTGTAAGTGTCTGAAGCCAAACAAAGTACTCTGGTCCTTTAGAACAATGTACCCCTCTTCCTGTCCGTTAACCGTGTGATCAGATGTGACGACTGAAACATGCAGGGGAGCTTAAGGTGAGTTCTCTGGGTGAAGACTTGGCAGTGTTAGTCATAAATGGTGAAAAGTTCTCAATAGGCTATAGTAAAGTATAGACGATGTACATAACTATTACATACAGGGTGTTAGGGTTACATCCTACTGAGAGCGCCTATGGCATTAGCCCTAAAAGACTTTCAAGAAGACAATTAATTCCAAAATCCTAACGATTTAGCTACGGGGTGAGATAAAAGGCCCGAGGTATTGTTCTGAGACCTCAAGGAGGAAACTAATCCTCGCAGGTGGGACAGCTGACGGAATAACCACCGTGTTAGGTGCGTAAGACTTCTCCGCTTAGACACGGGGCAGGAGCCGCTCACGCTACAATGTACACGGTACACGTACAGAGTACACACAGTAGATGACGCTGTTGAACTGATGTATTTTGCAGTATTCTACACCAGACTTTAGCCTTTAAAGCAGCTTTTAAAGGACAAATAACTAACTCATACCTCTATTGTAATATTATTATATTATTATAAATATGATTGTGTTTATGACCAGTGTCTGTTTACTTCATTAGATACTTCATGGTTTAGCTCCTCACCTCTTAAACTAGTTATTCTAACAGCTCATGTTAATAAAACATCGAGTGGAGACTGTAAATATAAAACGTCACTCAAATGTTCTCTCAGTGATTTTTCATCTCCAGCAACACAACAGTGGAATGATTTCCCTCCAAATATTAGAGAGAGTATTAGTTTCAGTCAGTTTAAAGCTGATGTTAAACCTTTGTGCTGTGATATTTAAACTAAGCATCCATCAACAGGGAGATAAAAGCCTCTCGTCTCTGAGACCGGTCTCTGTGGAGACGTTTGGGCCTGTGTAGGCTGCTGCTTATTATTCTGAGCTTTGCTTTAATCTCACCACAGCAGCTGTGTGGTTGTCTCTGTAGCAGCCTCATCAGCTTCTGATACCATGAAGATCACCACAGTTCACAACTTCACCTTTATTCAGCTTTGCATTCAAGTCTTTCTCTCTCTGTTTACACAGTTTGTATCTGCTGTCATCAGATCTTCATCCTCCTCCTTCATCTCCCTCACACACTCTACAGCCTCATCAGGACTGACATCACCTTCACTGACTGATGGACCACAGTGAGAGTCTGTGGAAGCTAAAAACTCTGTCCATCACTTAATTTCTCTACTTTCTGTTACTCTGACAAATATTCAGCGTTTGTTTTCAGGCAAATCCTGAAACCTTACAGTCAGTGAACTGACCTCAGAGTCTCCAGGCGACAGTGTGGACTCTCCAGTCCAGCAGACAGCAGCTTCACTCCTGAATCATACAGGTTGTAGTTGTGACTCAGGTCCAGCTCTCTCAGATGGGAGGGGTTGGACTTCAGAGCTGAGGCCACAACTTCACAGAGAGTCTCTGAGAGATCACAGGCAGTTAGTCTGGAATGACACAAATATTACAACATATTATGATGAAAGAGGACACTTCATATTTACTTCCTGCTTCTTGTTTTGATGAACATTATCTCTTCACATCAGTGGTTCAGCTGATCTTATCAACTGTGTTTCACATGAAACAATAACTCTCATCACTCTCTCTCTACCTGCAGACTTTAATCTTTGTTTGTCTTTAATGTGCAGATGAAGGGAGACAAAGTGTCGCTACATTGAGGCTTCCATAATGTCTGTATACGATTAAATATTTATAGAATTAGATGTTTTTGTCGTAAACACTCTTTTCTGAGCCTCTGAAAATATATATTCAACAGAATTAACGGACCAATGAGGCTGCATTATTTTCAACTACATTACTTTCAACATGATGTCATCAGAAATATGTTTCAGTGAATCAGCATTAAAAACATAACATGCTGTTCATGAGATCTTTATAAAAGTCTGAATTCAACCATTCTGAGTTTTTTTCTGAGTAAAAGAACAAATTAAAAGAATAAAAAACAGGACGATGTAAAAAAAACTCCTTTAAAATGTTGAATTCATGAACAGTAAAATGAAACATTTCTCGGTTCAACACTGGAGTTTTACAGCGACAGTCTTTGTCTCGTATGAAGCAGTTTATGGAGGCTAATGCTAAAGCTCAGATATATATTGATGTGTAACTGACGTCACTGAATCAGTTCTCTGATGTGATGACTTTTCTCTTCTTGTGCTACTAAATCACTGTTACAGCATTCAGCATCATCTCACAACTTCACTTGTGGTCACAGTGCAGCAACAGTTACACACTCAATTTAAATAATGATATAACAGTGATGGTTTTGTCAAAGCAGGAGATTAATATTTCTATTCATAAATTAATTCCTCCGTTAAGTGAATTCCACTGATGTTTGTGAATCTTCAACGTAACCAGAAACATTTCTCTGTCAGGTAAATGTAGAAGTACAATGTTGTCCTCTGAAGTAGAAGTACATTACATTCCATCTGACCTTACAGGGTCTGGATCTCAGGAGACACACAAGGACTTCATGTGGACCATCATAAACATACTTCATGTTACTCAGCTGGGTAAAGGTGAATTCTACTAAAGAGGAAATCTGAACTCAACCACAGAGAGGCCACAATAACTGGGACTACGTTGAGGGCCGAACAGGGTCAACGTTTCATAAACAGGATAGACGATGATGTGAGACACCTTGTAGAAGCTCCTGATGTATTAATAACTAAAGTACATGAAGTGATGACTGTAACATACTGCTACATGTGGTGATCAAAGCTCAAACACAACCTCTAAAGTCCTTCATGTGTTTCAGCAGGTTTGCATGTCGCCTCCATCACCCAAAGGAAGATAAATAGAGAAGAATTATATCAAAATAAAATATAACAACCATTAGAAATCAATAGAATAACTGAGTTCATTAACTTCACAGTGAAAACTAAACCAACTGAAACTGAAACATGTTTTCACTCGCAGCATTTGAAACATCAAGAACATCTGTGATGAAATATAACTGAACTATGATTTAGTATTAAACAACTGGAACACTACGTTAAGAATATGAATTTCATAGTGTCTGTATTAGAAGAACTAAACTACTGATCTACACTGATTCATGAAGTTAATCACATCTGGACTTACCGAGCCTTTCTGCAGTTCCTCACAGCTGGAATCAGTCTCCGTCGTCCCTCCAGTGATGTCTTGTACTTCTTCAGGTCCAAATCATCCACAACCTCCTCTGACATCTGCAGCATGTAGGCCAGAGCTGAGCACTGGATCACTGAGAGTTTCTTCTCCAATCTATTCTCTGACTTCAGGAACTCTTGGATCTCCTGATGTACTGAGAGCTCCTTCATCTCCATCAGACAGTGGAAGATGTTGATGCTTCTGTCAGGAGAGACTTCATAACTGTTCATCTTCTTCAGGTTATTGATGGCTCTCTGGATGGTTTCTGGACTGTTGTCTGTCTGACCCAGCAGGCCTCCTAAGAGTCTCTGGTTGGACTCCAGAGAGAGGCCATGAAGGAAGCGGACAAACAGGTCCAGGTGGCCATTTTTACTTTCAAGGGATTTCACCATGGCTCTCCTCAGGAAGTCCTCCAGGGATGAATACTTGTAGTATTTTCCCATGAAGTCCTTCAGTACCTCTGTCTTCCTGTTTGTGAAACGGTGGAACATGTAGACTGCAGCCAGAAACTCTTGAACACTCAGATGAACAAAGCAGTAGACTGTTTTGTGGAAGATCACACTCTCTCTTTTGAAGATCTCTGTACAAACTCCTGAGAACACCGAGGCCTCCGTGACATCAAGACCACACTGCTCCAGGTCTTCCTGGTAGAACATGATGTTTCCTTTCTCCAGATGTTCAAACGCCAGCCTCCCCAGCTTCAGAAGAACTTCC